TAGTATAGTCTGAAGTCAAGGAGCCCGATTCCTTCAGCTCCGTTCTTTCAAGATTGCTTTGGCTGTTCCGGGTCTTCTGTGTTTCCATACAAACTAAAAAAAATTTTGTTCCAATTCTGTGAAAAAAGCCACTGGTAATTTGATAGGAGTTGCATTGAATCTGTTGATTGCCTTGGGTAGTATAGTCATTTTGACGATACTGATTCTTCCAATCCAAGAACATGGTATATCTTTCCATCTGTGTCATCTTTGGTTTCTCTCATCAGTGTCTTACACTTTTCAGAGCACAGGTCTTTTGCCTCCTTAGGTAGGTTTATTCCTAGGTATTTTATTCTTTTTGATGTGACGGTAAATGGGATTGTTTCCTTAATTTCTCTTTCTGATCTTTTGTTGTTAGTGTATAGGAATGCAAGAGATCTGTGTATTACTTTTGTATCCTGCAACTTTACCCAAATTCATTGATTAGCTCTAGTAGTCTTCTGGTAGCATCTTTAGGATTTTATATGTATAGTTTCATGTCATCTTCAAACAGTGACAGATTTACTTCTTTTCCAGTTTGGAGTCCTTTTATTTCTTTTTCTTCTCTGATTGCCATGGCTAGGGCTTCCAAAACTATGTTGAATAATAGTGGTGAGAGTGGACATCCTTGTCTTATTCCTGATCTTAGAGGAAATGCTTTCAGTTTTTTACCATTGAGAATGATGTTTGCTGTGGGTTTGTCGTATATGGCCTTTATTATGTTGAGGTTAAGTTCCCTCTATGCCCACTTTCTGGAGAGTTTTTATTATAAACGGCTGTTGAATTTTGTCAACAGCTTTTTCTGCATCTATTGAGATGATCATATGGTTTTTATTCTTCAGTTTGTTAATGTGGTATACCACACTGATTTGTGGATACACTTCATCATGATGTGTGATCCTTTTAATGTTTTGCTGGATTTGGTTTGCTAGTATTTTGTTGAGTATTTTTGCATCTATGTTCATCAATGATATTGGCCTGTAATTTTCTTGTAGCATCTTTTTTCTGGTTTTGGTATCAGGGTGATGGTGGTCTCATAGGATGAGCTGAGCGTTCCTTCCTCTGCAATTTTTTGGAAGAGTTTCAGAAGGGTAGGTGTTAACTCTTCTCTAAATGTTTGATAGAATTCGCCTCTCAAGCCATCTGGCCCTGGACTTCTCTTTGTTGGAAGTCTTTAAATCACTGTTTCAATTTCAGTACTTGTGATTGGTCTGTTCATATTTTGTATTTCTTCTTCCTTCAGTCTTGGAGGTTGTACCTTTCCAAGAATTTGTCTGTTTCTTCTAGGTTGTTCTTTTTATTGGCATATAGTTGTTTGTAGTAATTTCTTATCCTTTGTATTTCTGTGGTGTCACTTATAACATTTTTTCATTTCTAACTTTATTGATTTGAGTCCTTTCCCGTTTCTTCTAAAGGTTTATCAATTTTATCTTTTCAAAGAACCAGCTTTTAGTTTCATCGATCTTTTCTACTGTTTTCTTGTTTCTTTCATTATTTCTGCTCTGATCTTTCTTTCTTTCCTCCTGCTAACTTAGGGTTTTGTTTGTTCTTCTTTCTCTAGTTGCTTTAGGTATAAGGTTAGGTTATTCATTTGAGATTTTTCTTGTTTCCTGAGGTTAAGATTGTATTGGTATAAACTTCCCTCTTAGAACTGCTTTTGCTGCATCCCATAGGTTTTAGATTGTCGTGTTTTTGTTGTCATTTGTCTCTGGGTATTTTCTGATTTCCTCTTTGGTTTCTTCAGTGATCCATTGGTTGTTTAGTAACATATTGTTTAGCCTCCACGTGTCTGCATTTTTTACACTTATTTTCCTGTAACTGATTTCTAAGCTCATAGGGTTGTGGTTGGAAAAGATGCCTGATATGATTTCCGTTTTCTTAAGTTTACCAAGGCTTGCTTTGTGGCCCAAGATGTGACCTATCCTGGAGAATGTTCCATGTGCACTTGAGAAGACAGTGTATTCTGCTCTTTTGGATGGAATGTTCTATAGATATCAATTAAGTGCACCTGGTCTAATGTGTCATTTAAGGCCTGTGTTTCCTTATTGATTTTCTGTCTGGATGATCTGTCCATTGATGAGAGTGGGTGTCCCCCACTAGTACTGTGTTACTGTTGATTTCTCCTTTTATGGCTGTTAGCATTTGCCTTTTATATTGAGGTGCTCCTATGTTGGGTGTATATATATTTACAATTGTTATATCTTCTTGGATTGATCCCTTGATCATTATGTAGAGTCCTTCTTTGTCTCTTATAAGTCTTTAAAGTCTATTTTGTCTGAGTATTGCTACTCCGGCTTTCTTTCGATTTCCATTTACATGAAATACCTTTTTCCATCCCCTCACTTTCAGTCTGTCTGTGTCCCTAGATCTGAAGTGCATCTCTTGTAGACAACATATATATGGGTCTTGTTTTTGTATCTATTCAGCCAGTGTATGTCTTGGCTGGAGCATTTAATCCATTTACATTTAAGGTAATTATTGGTATGTATGTTTTGTTTTGTTTTGTTTTTTGCGGTACGCGGGCCTCTCACTGTTGTGGCCTCTCCCATTGCGGAGCATAGGTTCCGGACACGCAGGCTCCGCGGCATGTGGGATCTTCCCGGACTGGGGCACGAACCCGCGTCCCCTGCATCGGCAGGCGGACTCTCAACCACTGCGCCACCAGGGAAGCCCAGGTATGTATGTTCTTATTGCCATTTTGTTAATTGTTTTGCATTTGTTTTTGCAGGTCTTTTTTCTTCCCTTCCCCTTTTGTTCACTTCTCTTGTGACTTGATGACTATCTTTAGTGTTGTGTTTGGATTGTTTGTTCTTTATTGTATGTGTATCTACTGTAGATTTTTGGTTTGTGGTTCCCATGAGGTTTTGATATAGCAGTCAATATATATACAAGATTGTTTTAAGTTGCTGGTCTCTTAATTTCCAATGCATTTCCAATATCCTGCATTTGTACCCTCCTGTTCTCATGATTGCTAGTTTTGACATCATATTTGTGTGTGGATGATCCCCTACCTTTATTTCATGGTTGCCTTTACCAGTGAGCTTTCCCATTCATAATTTTCTTGTTTCTAGTTGTGGCCTTTTATTTTCTGCCTTGAGAAGTTCCTTTAGGATTTGTTGTAAAGCTGGTTTGCTGGTGCTGAATCCTCTTAGCTTTTGCTTGTCTGTGAAGCTTTTGATTTCTCTGTCAAATCTGAACGAGAGCCTTGCTGGACACAGTATTCTTGGTTGTAGGTTTTTCCCTTTCATCACTTTAAATATATCATGCCGCTCCCTTCTGGCCTGCAGAGTTTCTGCTGAAAAAATCAGCTGATAACCTTATGGTTCCCTTGTATGTTAACAACTGTTGCTTTTCCCTTGATACTTTTAATATTTTTTCTTTGTCTTTAATTTCTGGCAGTTTGATTGATTAATATGTGTCTTGGTGTATTCCTCCTTGGGTTTATCTTGTATGGGACTCTCCGTGCTTCTTGGACTTGAGTGAGTGTTCATGTTAGGCTCATCCTAGGGGACCTCGTTGACACTTCCCTGTCTTTGATCATCCTTCCTGGCAGGTTTCCCAAGCCCCCTTTTCCCACTGAAGCCCTCTCATGCCTACTGGACATCTCTGTTCTGATGCTGTGCTGACAATTCTAACTACTCCACCTGCTTCCTTTTTCCATGAGTGGAATCAGCACCTACCCCACTGTCCAAACCAGAAAGTCTGGAGTCACCCTCCCTCCACACACACTCCCTGGTACTGTTCACCTCCCATATTCAATCTCTGAGTTCTGTGGATTCGTCTTCCTAAATCTCTCTATCCTCTTCCACCACCCCAGGTCAGGCCACCATCTATTCTGGGTTATTTCCACAGCCACTCCAGATGGCCCTGCTTACCTGTGTGGCCTCATCCCAGCCTCCAATGAAAGCACCGAGTGCTCCCTCTTTCTCTAGCCAACTGCTGCTCATCCTTCAGGTTTCCAATCACCTCTTCCAGGAAGACCACCGAGCCAGATTGAGGTGCCCTTGCTACGTGTTTCCTATCAGAGCACTTATCACATGATACTGTCATTTCCTATTTAATGTCTGTATCGCTTTGCAGGCCATGTGTGTGTGGTTCATTATTTTAGCCCCTGAAGCTAGGACAGTAACCATAAAGACATTCACAAACTTCTGGATGAATAAGTAAAAGGAGATTTCCAAATCTATAAAATTCAAACCCAAACTGAGTGATACCATCCTAAATAACTTAATTTAGAAATAAAAACCTTGAGCCCAGCTTTCAAATGGTTTGGTCAAGAAAAGGCACCTCAACATCATGAGGAGTAAGCTGAGAGCACAGGGGTGCCTTTCATGTAAGCAAATCCCCATTTTGGGCAGTTGAGGTTTGCACACGGAAAGCTGCCTCCCAAATTCTTAAACTGATTCCAGTTGGATCTGTTTATAATCCTGCATAATCAACAAAATGTGGTTCAAGTATTACCTAATGCCCAGTGACTCAGAAGAAAGTAAATAAAGAGTCTCCTCGTCCATCCCTCAGTCTTTACACACACAAAATACTCTAATGAGATCTTAACATTTTATAGTTGGAAAGGAGTTTCAAGCTCATTAAGCCAATATTTTATTGGTGAATTTGAAGCTCAACACTGTCGTTTTCCAGGTGAGAAAACTGGGGCTCAGGGAGGCAGAGCAACTGACTCAAGGTCACACCTGCCCTGTTAGTCATAAAGTGGGGTTAGGACTCGGGTGCTGGGCTGTACCTGCCAGTTTGGAGCGTGCTGACAGCAGAGGCGGCTGTTTTCTCAAGATCATGTTGATAGGAAATGTTTCACACACACCTCAAACTAATACCTACTTCATTGTCCAACAGGGCAGCCAACCTGAGGGAGAGAACTGGAGAAGAACGTTCCTCAGGCCCATGAAGAGTTTCTCACTGTAGCGGAGGGGAAATGGCTAGAACCGCATGTCCGCGGGAGTGAGGTGAGCGAGACGCCGGGCACTTACCTTTTCTTTGTCACTTGCTTCCCTAGCCACTGTAGAGCCCTGAAAGAGAAGGAGATAATGAAAACATGCGCACGCGAGGTATCAGCTTCACGTGAAATATGCAAACACTCCAGGGCAGAGCACGGAAATAAATGAGCACCGACTTTGCTCTGGCCCCTCCCCGAGTGTGCTGCACCCTCTGCAGGGATTTCTGTCCACCTGTCTCCAACCCCTTCCCTGCCGTGTCACCTGTGCTGTCTTCTCCCTGGTTCCTGTCCTCCTGCTGGAAATCAGAAAATGCGACAATCACGTGAACAATGACTTACTAAACGTGGAGTCGAACATCAATCGCCAGAAATGGTTGGTTTGAGGGTCTTCAAAGTGAAGTGGGCCGTCAGCTGGCCGCAGTGACCACTGGGGCATAGAGGCCTCTTTCCCACACTGCGTCCTCTAGGTGGGGGCGTGCCCTGGCCCCCGACTGCCCGTCTCCCCTGGCTTAGGGTTACTGATGAATGTGCTTCCTCACTTACCATGACTAAGACCCAGTGGGTACTTCCCGGCCCCTTTCACTTTGGAGGTCCCTTCAAACACACGTCTCCTTGCACCGCTTCTGTGTCAGAACCTAGGCTGAGCACAGAGGTATAAAGTAGAAGAAAACACAGTTCTTGGTCGCAGCAATATCTGCTCTACTGCACTGGTTTTCCAAATGATGCCCTCGGTTCTGTGTTGTCTGAAATGACAGAGTCCTCCTGATGCCGACAGGGGTGCTTTGGGGTAGAGTTCAAGAACAGAAACTGTCCTTTGTTTGTGGAAGATCTTAATGCAAAAGAAAGATTAGGAAACAAATGGCCAGTGAATTCCTAACTTTGTTAATACAACAGTGAGCATTTATCCTTTGTGCTCCGTGGTGACCATTGCAGTGTCTCACCCAGCAACGCCCAGTGTTTGTTTGCTGAGTAAACGGCTGGAGGAGGATCACGGCCCGACCGACTGCTCTCCCTCCCCTGCCAGCACTGGATGCCCAGACTATGACTAGGTCAGTGGAGTGATCCATTTACCTATGTTTTAAATAGATATTTATTGGCCTGGAATAGTTGCATTAGCCAATCATTAAGAGAATGTGTATGTGACTTGGGAAAATTTAAAGTAGCTGCTAGGTTGGCCACTCTTAATATTTTTGCTCTACGACCATCTTGCCTTCAAGCAGCTCAGGCATTAGTCAGGATGTGTGTAACGTGTTCACAGATGGGGAGACTCCTTGTACTGGGGAAGGGGGCCAAGCCCAGGCCAGGGGCTCCCTGGGGCCACTTATCCATCTGCCCCATGCTCAGCATTCCCAGGTCTGGTGGATCCGAAAGACCCTGCTTCCAACCCAGGGAAGATGCTCGAAGCTTCTGGGGGATGTGTCGGAGGAGCACAAAGCTGACCCAGCACGTGAAGATGAACCGTGTAAATTGGTCGTGAAGGAAAGCCCTCTGCCTGGCTGAGCCCAGCAGCTGTCACTTGCAATGGTTTGTTTCTTCCTTTACAGATTCTTGAATTCGGGCCATAGTCTCTTCCTCTGTACACTGACTGCTAACAAAGAATGCTCCCAAATTTAAAGGGCAGGGGGGGCTTAATACTCAAGTATTAAATACTTGTAATACCTGAGTCTCTGTATCTTTAACCAAGTTTTTTAGTCTGTGTGTGCTCTCCCCTCTACGATATAATTTACTCTGCTCCTAATTCTCACTGAAGCTTCGTCTCTATGTAAAAATGCAGAGCATTAGCCTGGAAAAACTCATCCAAATTTAAATTCATTCAGAATTTTAAAATTAAAACAAAATTAGAAACGTTAAGTCAGTCAAGGCTGAGAGTTTGAGCCATGAAATGATGCCAGAGGCCCAGGTTCCCTCACAACGGCAAGTACTGGCAAGAAAAGTTTATTCTACAAGCTAAAAAGGGATATGAAATCATGACATCCAAGGTTAAAACTATAACATCCAGTCTATAAGCATAATTTACATCAGGATATGCTTGAACAGGATATGCCCAAGCAGGATATGCTTAAGACAGAGGCACTACCTTAAGCATTTCCGGGGGATAAAAAAGTAGAACCAAAACAACTGCCTTTAAGGGACTTATCAGTAGAATGGATGAGACAATGAAAATTCATCCACTCCTCCCCACATGACGTGCCTTATGCTGGACGTGACACGTACATATCTCATTAATCCTCACAGCAGCGGAGGTAAGATCATCTCTGTTCTACAGAAGAAACTGTGGCTCGCAGAGGTTCAGCATCTTGCACACAGCTAACAAGTAGTAAAACCAGGACATGTGGCTTCAGAGGTCATCTAGCTTCTTACATGGGAGAGTCAGGCCAATGAAAAGACCTATAATACTCAGCAGAGTGAGCTAAGTAACACTGCAAAGGGCCTCATGAGAGACATGGTTCCAAAGAGCCCTGTAGCCCTGTAGGCTGGGATTTCCACCTATAAAATAGCTACGACTTGGAGGCAGGACAGAGCAGAGCTGTATTTGGGAAGCTTATATTGTTCATCTGAACTCCAGCGGGTAGGAGATAAGCCTCGAACATTCCCCCTCCCTTAGACTAGCATTTCTCGAAGCATAGTTCAGCACCCAGGGGTCTGCAAAGTCAAAACTATCTTTATAATAATACTGAGAGGGCTTCCCTGGTGGCGCAGTGGTTGAGAATCTGCCTGCTAATGCAGGGGACACGGTTTCGAGCCCTGGTCTGGGAAGATCCCACATGCCGCGGAGCAACTAGGCCCGTGAGCCACAACTACTGAGCCTGTGCTCCGCAGCAAGAGAGGCCGCGATAGTGAGAGGCCCGCGCACCGCGATGAAGAGCGGCCCCCGCTTGCCACAACTAGAGAAAGCCCTCGCACAGAAACGAAGACCCAACACAGCCAAAACTAAATTAATTAATCAATAAATTAAAAAAAAAATACTGAGACACTATTTGCCTATTTCACCATTTCACCATCTTGATATTTGCATGGATACTGCAAATACAATGGTGGGTAAAACTGTTGGCAGCTTAGCACAAACCCAGCAGTGGCACCAAATGGTATTAGCAGACTTTGTCATAAAACATATGAATAGCCTTGAGGAAGCAGTTCACCTAACTCAGTCAATCCATCATATTCCAAATGACCAAAGCATGATGCAGCCAGACCAATGCGTGCAAACAGACTGACGGATTTTAAAATGTTCACTGATGTGACTTCAGATTCCACACTGTAACTCAGCTTTGAGAAACTACCACTTGTCAGGTTAAGGTGTGATATCAAAGGAAAACATCCACAGATTTCTGAAAAAGTTATTAAAAACTCCTCCTCTCCTTTTCCAACTACATATTTGTGTAAGGTCTGATTTTCTTCATACACTTCAAGCAAATAACTTGGCAAGAGGTGGACAGCCAAACCAGACAGGATGTTCTGTCTCACCAAACCTAACATTAGAGAGATTTGCAAAGATATAAAAAACAATGCTACCTGTTCCACTAAACTTTTTGACTTGGAAGATATTTTTCATAAAGATATGCTAAGATGTAACGGTTTTACTATTTTAAATAAGTTTTTTTCAATGTCTCATTTCTAATATTGTAAGTATTAGCAGACATAACCTACATAAGCAGAAGCTTTCTGGGGTCCTCTTTTAAAGGGTGTGAAGGAGTCTGAGATAAAAAAATTCGAGATCCACTGATGAAGACCAAAGGTTGGAAAACTTTTTCTGAAAAGGGTAAGAGGGGTGGTGTTTCAGGCTTTGTGGTCCAAAACGGCCTCTATGGTAACTACTCAACTCTGCTGTTATAGTGCAACCACATACGATACACAAAACACAGGCATTGTGGGATTCCAATAAAACTATTTACAAAAACGGCCATGTTGGCTGTGCCACGGAGGCAGGTCACAGTCTGCCAGCTCCTGACCTGGACGTTGCCTATGTCGGTGATCCCAGAAGTCAGATCCCCTCACTCCACAATCAGAATTTCCAGTGGTCCACCTCTCACTTGGGGTCTCTGAAACAGCCTGTCTCCAGGCCTGCTCCTCAGCCTATCCCTCACCTCCTTCAGGTCTGCAGTGAAGCGAAACCCTATGCCAAACCGCATCCCTTCCCCATGCTTCCTGTCTTTACTTCTGTCCATGGCACTGATCACTTCCTAGTATACTCCATGGTTTACTTACCCCTTTTACTTATTACCACCCGTCTTTATCCACCAGAATGTCAGCTCGTTGAGAGCAGGTTTGCTCTGTTTTGCTCATCAAGCTATTCCCAGCACCTAAAGCAGTGCCTGGCCCATAGCTGGTGTTCAATACACACTTGTTGAATAAAATAGACATGGTATCTCTCGAAGGTACACGTGGTCCTCGCTTAACACAAAGGAGCGCTCCTGGCAGCTTTGTGCTCTGGGCACCTCCTAAGTGTTCAGCATGATCAATTACATACAACGTGGATGACCAAACTTAATGAATAAAAGTTAATAAAAATCAGTCTTACCTTTAAGTCATATTTCCTATATACAGATAAACGGTGGCTGAACACATTTCTTGTAACAATCACATATATTTCAACTCCGTCAACATTAAGCCGGTACATGCCCAGGAACTGGGGGAGAAGCGTGATCCCATGACATTCCACTATATACTGCACAGGAGAGAGGAAAAGGGGGGGAATGACCCGGTCAGAAGGTCTTCATTCAGATGTAAAATGTAACTCTTCTGCTATGGTGTTTATACAAAGTGATAATGGTTTATTATCACAACTATTAATGTCCTGTTTACAGAAAATGACCATGTTTGTACCGCCTTCAGCAGTACAGGTCTGCGGCCACCGTGCAGACACAGATAAAATTCAACTCTATCTCGAGAGATATTCTCTCCCTAACATTCCAAACTAATTCGTAAAGTCAAAACTTGGATACGATGGCATAGGGTGAGAGGACAAGTGATTGGTCCTTTCTGTGATTCCTTTAAAGTGAAATCACACTCTACCTGGGGCTGCCATCTTCCTCCCTAGAAGCCTTTATGATGATTTCATGAGGTTGAGGCAGCGTGACTCGGCCACTGAGATCAACTCCTTTGACAGTGTTGAAGTCGAGGTTAAAAAGGAAATTGTGGAGAAAGCTCAGTGTTAGAAGCTGGGAGAGTTGGGCTCCAGTCCTGGTTTTCCTGTTTCTTATTGAGACTCTAATGTTTAAATTGCCCACTGGTCTCCCAAGGCAAAAGGAATAAAAACAAAAATAAACAAATGGGACCTAATCAAACATACAAGCTTTTGCACAGCAAACGAAACCATAAACAAAATGAAAAGACAACCTACAGAATGGGAGAATGTATTTGCAAACGAAGCAACCGACACGGGCTTAATTTCCAAAATAGGCAAACAGCTCATACAACTCAACAACAACAAAAAACCAACAACCCAATCGAAAATTGTTTTTTTGAAAAACACTTCTCCAAAGAAGAAATACAAATGGCCAACAGGCACACGAAAAGATGCTCAGCATCACTGATTATTAGAGAAATGCAAATCAAAACTACAATGAGGTATCACCTCACACCAGTCAGAATGGCCATCATTCACAAGTCTACAAATAACAAATGCTGGAGAGGGTGTGGAGAAAAGGGAACCCTCCTACACTGTTGGTGGGAATGTAAATTGGTGCAGCCACTATGGAAAATAGTATGGAGGTTCCTCAAAAAAACTAAACACAGAGTTGCCATATGATCCAGCAATCCCACTCCTGGGCACATACTGAGAAAAAATGATAATTTGAAAAGATACATGCACCCCTCTGTTCACAGCAGCACTAGTTACAATAGCCAAGACATGTAAACAAACTAAATGTCCATCCACAGAGGAATGGATAAAGAAGATGTGGTGTATATATACAATGGAATATTACTCAGCCATCAAAAAGAATTAAATAATGCCATTTGCAGCAACATGGATGGACCTAGAGATTATCATACTAAGCGAAGTAAACGAGAAAGACAAATGCCATGTATCACTTATATATGGAATCTAAAACACGATACAGATCAACATAGCTATGAAACAAAAACAGACTCACAACTATAGAGAACAGACTTGTGGTTGCCAAGGGGGAGGGAGGATAGGAATGGGAATTTGATTTTAGCAGAGGCAAACTATTATATATAGGATGGATAAACAACATCATACTGTATAGCATAGGGAACTATATTCAATATTCTGTGACAAACCATAGTGGAAAAGAATATGAAAAGAATATATATATGTATAACTGAGTCACTTTGCTGTACAGCAGAAATTAATACATTATAAATTAACTATACTTCAATAAAATTAAAAAAAATAATTTATGAAAAAATATTCTTCTTTTTTTGGATACATTAAAATGAATACTTTGTATATTTACAAGTGACATTGAATAAAAAATTCATGTCAGTGAAGAAATAAACTGCCCACCAGAGAAGCGGTGTGAAAAAGGGCTTGCCCCCGCTCTACAGACAGATGGACACGCTCTGGCCCCATGTTGGATTCATCAAATCCACTGAACAAGTCCCAGAACTGACACCGTTTCCAAGGAGAGTTGCAAAAACACAACATCCGTTTATCAGTCTTGAATGACCATACTCTAAAAGGCCACAAGATGGAGACACTTCTCCTCAAAAGACCATCCTTACAAACTGGGTCCCATTGCACTTTCCAAAGGAAAGTTAGGTTTTCCTTTCTTTAAAATGAAGGGGAAAGATTTCAAAAAAGCTCTTTTATTCCCATGACATGTGTGTGAACTCTCTAGGATAACTGAACAGCATGAGTAACATGATTCCAAAACTGTAAAAATTGTACCTATTGTGCCTATTTACAGAGATGTGTCTGGAAGAATGGTCACTATGGTAATAGTGAAATTTAGGGTAACTGCTTTCTTCCTTTTTTTAGGGAAAAAAAAAACTATTCTGCTCGAATTTTTCTGTTGTACAGTGAACATTTTATAAAAATAAGAAAGTAGTAAGAATGCCCTTTCCAACTTTTTAGTGGTAAACACTGTAATAATCAACTGATAATATTAAACCATCTTAAGATTTTTTTTAAAAAAGGCTTTAGTTTTTATCATTAAAGAAAAGATGAACAGCATCAGTATAGGAGTTTGATTTTTGCCACCCAGAGTTTTGGAAGACTTTAAAGATGCTCCTGCCCTTAAAAAAAATCTTACTGACCATAATTGAGCTATATATTTTAGTTTGATGGATTTTTCTGAGTTTGACCCACAACCTGTTCTTAATGCGAAGTCTGATCAGAGGAACATTTTCTATTTCTCGCCTTTCAAAAAACAGTAAATTAACTTGATTTTCGCTAATACAAAATAGGTGGTAAAGAGCTCTTGGCTAAAATGAAGATTTCTCACATCTGATGTAAAGAAATAAAAAAGAGTGGTTGTCTGGTACCTCTGAAGAGAGATGGTTGGATGGGCCTTAAACACATGGAGGCACACAGGTTTCAGTTTGGCTGTTCAAGTCCCCTGCCTTTGTGCCATTCTGCTGTTATTCTCATCATGGCCTACCTTTAAAAAATCCTGCTGGTAGAAGATATCTCTTAGATCAAAATCTTGGTACAGTCACAGAGCACCCGGAACAGAGCAGATACTGACCACTATCCATATTGATGAATATGTTAAAGAAACCTGACTACTACACAGGAAATCACCGACAAGCTGTTTTTTTCCCCCAGGGAAAAATACACATACAGATTACATTCTACAACTCCTCTATCTTTAAGATTACATAAGTTACTCCATGTTAAAAAAACAGATCAAATTTGATCCACTTCATCAGCAAGTTTCTATGTGCACCTGTTCTCAAAGGCAAGGCTCACCTATGAGGCTCTCTGATGAACACCTTGAAAAACAGAGATTTAATAAACTTAAAACTCCTGAGTTTATAAATATGTACAAAACCACAACCACAGAAAGCCTATCATGTTAGAGTTCAGTACTGACAAGCAGCAGTTGGTAGCAAAGGTTTAGAAAGCATTTATGTGTCAAAACTTTGCAGAAGAGAAAATTCTCCCCGTGAATTGAATTTCTGGGTGGGAGCACTGGGAAGACATTGCTTCATGTCAGTGGAGGAAGGTCTCACTGGGTGTGTGAGCACCTGGGCTGGGGCACCACTGCACACGGAGTCACTGCGTGTGGGAGTTGACACAAACAGGCCCGGATGTGCTTCCTCTCAGATTCTTCACCAGCTGACCCAGGAAATGCTGTGCACACACCCCTACACCAGTGGGCACATCTATGAGGGTTCCCCCACCCCACAAACTACTGGACGTTATCCCACATCTAGGGAGACTGTAAACTCATGGCCACATCACGCTGCTCGAGCCTTCCTGATCTAGCTCCACATTCACTAGCTGTGTGACCTTGGGGAATTGTTCAACCTCTCTGTGTCTCTGCATTTGGAGATGAGGCATAAGATTAGTAGTTAGAGCATACAGGGGTTTTGTGAAGGGTGTGAAGATCAGGGAAACAGCACTGGAAGGATGGCGGTGATTCAAGCGGGAGCCGGATGAAACCAGGACCCTGGGGCGAGGGGTGAGAAAGGAAGTAGGGAAGGAAAGGGCGAGGGAGGCAAGCTTGCACCTGATGTGCTCCTCAAATGCTCCCTGAGAAATGGATTCTATTTAAATGCAGGATGGGAACTCCCAATTTCAGGGAATCTCCACAGAACAGACTTACCAAAAATGAATAATGTTGCATGTGTGTGTGTTTATTTATAAAGTAAGGCAATATTTTTGTAAATGTAAAAGAAACACTAAAAAATTATATTTCTCACTCATGTTGCTTTTAGGATCAGAACTCTAAGCACTTCCCCTTCAAAAGCTTAACCACTGACAAATTAACAAAACAACCTGTAAATAAATGCTTCAAAAATTATTTTAAAAGGGTGTATTGGTAGCACTACAGTATCATGATCAGTTTTTTGGCACGAGCAACCTTTTTTTAAATAGTTAAAAACAGCCTCAGCATCTATTAATTAATTTCTTTTTAACATTGTTGATTTGATTGCAAAACAATCTAAGGATGAATCTTTGCTTCCTCCTTTTTACATGCTTAATTTCGAATTCTTGTAATTACAAGAATGGAGAAATAGCGACTTAATCCCGAGGGTCACTCTTTAAAAAAAGGTGTAGGGGAATTTCCTGGCGGTCCAGTGGTCGGGACTCGGTGCTTCCACTGCCAGGATGCAGGTTCAATCCCTGGTCGGGGAACCAAGATCCCACAAGCAGCTCGGCGTGGCCAAAAAATAAATAAATAAATAAAATAAAGTAAATGAAATGAAATAAAATAAAAAATAAAATAAAAATAAGTGTAGGTATTTCTCACTTTCAACCACTGTTCTGATGTGGCTACAAGGCAATCCTGCCTAACTGGCAAAGGACATAACGCAGATGTTCCTTGTCTGCCATGTTAAAATCTCAATTTACAGACTCAACAGGTGCAGTGCCCTAGTGCCACCCAGTAGACACTTTCCTAGAGGTCAGATGAGTCTGTGGACTTCTGCCCTGTGCCACTCTGAGGTCCCAAGGGAGATAAGAGGTCACAAGTGGACCAAACACTTGGCAAGGCTGGTCATCCACGTGTGGCTCAGGAATTAAGAGCACAC